TTGCAATGAAGTTAGGCTAGAAATTGTATGGAAATGCACACATCAGCTTGATTTTGAAACACCTCTTCATTAAGCTAATTTTTCCTTGGAAAGACCAAAGTAGATATTTCCTTTTGGCATGTAGAAATTTTTGTGAATACAATCACTAAATGCATAGGTTGCCTTTTCATATAAAAGGATTAAAGGGTTTTGCTAGAAGAAAGGAATAGTTGTGGCGTTATAGAGAAAATTTTAAAGCAGTCTTATTTCTGTAAAAATGAAATAATAAAAATTTGCTAATTGTCCTTATATTGTCATTGAATTTAGAATTCAATTGAGTAATAAAAGGAGACTGATTTAACTAATCTATTCTATCAACTTTCATGTATTAAACCTCAGTGCCAATCACTGTTCTAGATATTGGAAATGCAAAAGTCTGCCATTAAACACTCAACATAAGTAAACCCATAAATATCTTCAGGTGTTTAAAAATACAATGTAAAAAGTGAAATCATAGAGGTATATCATAACATATGGGAAATATGAGAAACTTATTCACATTTTTTCAAGAGAGTAAACAAATTTCACAGAGATGGTAATCCCTTATTCTGGGCTTTGATAAACATACTACTGTTGTAAAGAATCCAGAACTGATTCATTCCATAAAATATTTCTAGAAAACCAATGTTGTATGTGTAGACAAATTTGGAGGGCATCTATTGCAGAGAAGTACTGTTCAGATAAAAATTGTTCCCTAACCCTGAAAATGAAAAGAGCTAGGGGTTATAATAGTAGTAGTTTTTTATTATCCAGTTAAGTTTAGTTTTGTTTTAAAATCAGCATGGAGCTTTTAATTCCTTAAAACTAGTTTTAATTAGCAATCCTGTTAATTGGTTTTGTTAAGAACATTTATGTTTTTTTTGTAAGTAACAATTATGAAGACCATTGATGATAAATGATTTCAGAATTGGTGTCAATTTTAAGTTTGGCTTTTCAATTTCTCAATATGAATCCATCTACAAATCAAAGATCTACACTTAGGTTTGTTTCATTCATATTTGTAGCTCATTTTTGAAGGTATTCGAGGTCCTGGCATAGAAGGTGACATTGCCATTGATGATGTATCAATTGCAGAAGGAGAATGTGCAAAACAAGACCTAACGACTAAGAGTAAGTGTCTATTCTTAGATTGGTTTAATGTGATGTTGAAGGAACATAGTAACTATTAAACTAAAACTGTCTAATTTTTAAAACTCACTTATTTTTAGTTTGTTAATTTAGAAATTCTTTATACGTGAGACCCTACAATTTTGAAGACATCTTTAAAACAAGTATTAAATTTGATGGTAGGCACATTTGGTCTAAGATAAGATAAAAGTAATTTTGGTTTTGGTCTGTGTAAGGCAAGCACACTTTGATTTTTAATTAAGATTTTTAAAAAGTGTTTAATTTATATTATTATTTTCAGAGGACTTTTTTACTTTTATTAAAATATTTAGCTAAAAGAAAAATATTTGGCTGATCTATATACTCAGCATACATTTATATAGCCATAGCTGTTTTTATCCTCCCTCCCCCATTTATGAATATATTTTCTAGGTCTGTCTTTTGCCAGTCATTTTAACAGATTCACTATTGTGAAGAGCCTAACTATATGCAATACGTAATAGATAAGCACATTTTTTTCTGGTATCCTGGTATAATTCATCTATGTGCATCACAATCTCGTTTAGCAATTTGGTTTCATTTTTTACTTTGGATTGAGTTTAACGATATCTTCAAATTTTATTTTGTCACCACAAATATGTTTTGGATAAGATATAAATTAAAAACTATAAATAATGCAAAGAAATATCAGAATTATGTGTTGAGCTGTTTCCTAAAGTCTTCATCTCCATATTATCCATGTGAAGTTGAGAAAACTAAAATCGTGTCTTTTAAAGATCCTTCCACTTAAAGTATTTTCAAAGGCCCATCAGGAATCTTTAATTTTGTGGTTACATAGAGGGGTATCAATTAAGCTAAATTTACACAAATAACTCATCAATTATTTAGTATGTATAAAAGAGCATGAAAATCCATTTTAAGTCTGGAGTAGATCAGAGTCTTTGTTGAGTATATTTAGTGAGAAATTAGTCTACATGTTAAGAGTTAATTTTCTGCAACTATCTACTGATTGTTCATGTGAACTGAACTGACTCCATTTTTAAGCATTGTAAAAAGACAAAACCTAAGATTGTGTATAACAATGAGCCACTTTGCTCAGTTTTCACCTTTTTGTCATTACACATAGCGTTTCAAGTAACAAATTTAGTAGAAATGTCTCCCCATGTCTGGCTAATTTTGCTTTAAAAAAACAGTAGCAATACCAAAATGAAGTAGGTTTGTCAAATGCACAGAAAAACATATATGCTCCTTGTTGGAGGAGAATGGGATTTCTTTTGGATTTCATAATGTGAATCAGTCACAATAACATTAAAGTAACTGATGGTAGTTACCATCTTACACAGAAATCTTACTTTTAGATAATTTAATCACCAAACTATTACAAATTAAATTCAAATTTTGAATTAAACTTTCCAAATGAGGAATGCAAGAAAGAATATACTCCCTCATGGAGAAAACAGATGTGCTAAGAGTAGCAACAGGGAAATAATGATAAAACCCCAAAGGACCTTATTGTTACAGAGTAGAACACTTTCAAAATCAGATTTCATCTCCTCTAAAGTCAGAGAAATGTGTGGCTGTTCTAAATAAGATATATCTGTACACATTGGAAGTATTTTTATTTAGCTTCTGTAAATCAGAGGAAACAACCCTAATTAAACAAAACCCTTCTCTTTGGCATGAGAAAGTATTCTATATCCATTTAACTAGCATTTATTAAGCTCATTTTGACAATTAGCGTTTGGGGAATATTAAATTAATGTTAATTTCTAAGTACAAACCGGCTTGGCAGCCAAAAGCCTCTTCTTAACTGCTCAGGTTCCCATTTACTTCTCAGGCAGTAAACGGTACTAAGGCCCACACTATAAAAGCTGAGGTTGTCTGTCGTCTTCAAAACCCAGCTTTTTCCTAGGTAAGAACCATTTTGTGATTTAAGCCAGGTGAGTGAATTATCGGGCTTGGCCATGTTAGCCCTCCGGGGCAAGGTATACATTCCAAGGAGGTATCACCTGGATGTAAAGCTCTACTTGAAACACCAATTATGATAGGACTCTTAAGGCAGAATGGTGGAAAGGATTTTTTTTAGTTAAATAAATGACATAGTGCTTCTAAAAACCATACTAAAGAGATAATTATTTATTCAATTTAAAGGTATTGGATCATTCTAAGCATATATAATCCACGGTCTGTGGTAGCTGATTTTTCTATCCATGACAATCCCTTCCTAGTTTTCATAAAAAGTAGTTTTTCACTCAAGTCGTTAATCTTAATCATTTCTGGAAGCTTTGGAAAAAAAAAAAACTGAACTCAGGATTTCCAAGACTTTTCTATGTGAACATATTTCCCTTTTTATTTTTTTAGCAGAGCTTGCCAAATGCTTTATGTTTTTTACTTTTTAGATGTTAGATAATATTTTTTGTATATTTTTTATCAGAGTTCGATTTACCAACATATAGTATAACACCCAGTGCTCATCCTATCCAGTGCCCCCCTCAGTGCCCGTTACCCAGTCACCCCATCCTCCCCGCCCACCTCCCCTTATGTGTACATATTTCCATGTGGCATGCAGAACTCTGAGGTTGAGCTCAGCCACAAACACAAATACTTTCTGGATAAGTTTTCACAGTATATCATATCAACTTAAAATATTTTATTTTATCAAATTTCTAGCCACACATTTATTTTCCTTTTCACATGTCTTGGAAATTGACTAATAAAACAAATTATTTTCCAAAAATGTTTCCCATATACTACTATTGTTTTATTAGTGTATCAGAGTTGTATCGGTAGCTACGTGGAATATTTATTCTCTTTTTTTGTTGTTTGTTTCTTGGCATTATTTTCCTTGTCTTTAGATTCTGTTGATGGTGCTGTTGGAATTTTAGTACATCTATGGCTTTTTCCAGTCATCGTCCTCATCTCTATCTTAAGTCCTCGAAGGTGACCTTATCCTGGCAGAGGCTATAAAAGATTCACCAGGCACTGGCATGAAGAAAGAGTCTTTGTAAATGGACATTGAAAAAACAAACTACCAAAGATTCCTCCACTGACTACTGACTCAAAAATAAAATAATAAAAACGAATTTTTTAAGGCACTGGGGATAAAAAGACATCATGGAAGTATAACTTATTCCAAACTACATATAAAAGATAATCTTGACCTGAGTAGAGAAGAGACCTTCAGGTGCTTTTGTGGCTAAAAAGATTACAGCGTCATCTGGTCATCTGGTTGAACTCTGGAAAAAAAAAAAAAAAAAGCTATAGAAATCCTTGTCAAAGCACAAAGTCATGGCTGGTTTTGTTTCAAATGAATAGTTTGCTTGTTACCATGGAAACCTAATGGCCTGCCAACAAAAACCTCACTGTAAACAGGGTACGTGAAGAGCTGGCATTTATTTTCCTTTCAAGAAGGTTTTACGTAGAGAATTAAATAAATGTAGGCCCTTTTACCTTTGGTTGTTACCCTTCCTTGAAAATAACCCGAACTCAGAATTATTTAAAACATTCATGCTCCTCCCCAACTGTCCCCATCCCACCTTTATTGTTATTATTTGTTTTCCTCCCATGGCTAAGCTAGATAACTATATGCTGTCTCTTTTTGCATGCATTACTATCCAGGATGGTAAACCTGGGCTTACATATTACACAGGCTTATCGGAGTTTGCTTGCGGCCACTTGAACACCCAAACTAAGTCATCTGTTCCAATGAAGAAACCAAACCACCATCTTTTATAAATTGCCATGGAAACCAAGTGCCTTCAATGAAACAAGCCTGAATAATTTTCAACTCAGAAGCTTGCACTGCTGAGAGTGGTTTGTGTAAAACTATTTTATAAACAAACTACAGAGCCGAAATGTGCAAATTACAGGCAACCCAACAAAAGCCGCTTCTGAAGAAGAAAGGACCGGAGCTGCTGCGTAAGCCCATGCAGACGAGATATTTGTTGTTTGACCTCCTAGACAGCCATGGCCTTTCAGCTTATTGTCCATTAGAAAATAACTTCCATTGAGACCAGACATGGGAGCAACACTTTTTTCTTCCAGGTTATTAAATGGGTCAACCAGAGCAAAAGGTTGTTAAGATAATACTTAGCGCAGAAGGTGGTAAAACACAAGAGTGATTTTTTACTCTAACCTCCATTTGAAATGAAATTGGCCCTAGCTTTAGAGGGAGCAAGAAAATGTTTGTGATTGCAGTGCATACAAACTCTACAGCGGAACTGGGCCTGAAAAATCTGGCTTTATTCTAAACACTGAGGGTAATATGCCTCTGCCCTTTAGTCAGACTCTGTGCAAATTGTGAAATATTATTTTATTATTTTACCAAGATTAAAAACACTTTTACAAAAAAACAAAAACCTGTAAAAATGATTTTGAGCTACCTGAGGACAAATCATAACTTTAACCAGCCAGTTTTCCAATGCATTGTAAATTTCACTTAAACCTGTTGGCTATGAAAATTTGAAGACCTTTTTCCTTAAATTATCTCAGCTTTTAACTTCATTTAAAAAGACTTTTGTCTAAAGAAGAAGATTATTATTATTATTATTAATTATTATTATTATTATATGTTCTTTCAACACCCCAGGATTAAAAAAACTGATTATGCAAGTAATTGGGATATAAGTATTAAATTATAACATTTGCAAATATTAATATAAAAAGCACAACAAAATGTAGTGGAAAAATGACAAAGCTTGATTTTTAAAAGAAAAAATTCTGTAGAAATGTTTGTGCAAATTCAGTAATTCAACTTAAAAGATAATTTTACAGCTATGTTCAATAAAGCCTCTTTCCAGGTAAGGTATGCAAAGCGGTATGTGTGTTTGTTGAGCAATGTTTACTTGTCACCAAAATGAGACTAGTTATACAATTTACTGGTTCTGTTACCATGGGATTAATCTTCAGGGCTTCATAAACTTTAATGTCTGCAGGATAGAGTTTAATAGGAACCCCTGATGCATTCTTCCATATTTTTCATACATGTAACAACAACAAAAGTCAAACTTGTGAAAGTAAAATATGAAACAAATGTGAACTTGGAATTTAATGCATATTTTCATAGTTAAAGAGGGGACCAGTCGGAATATCTAGGCAGTGACAAAATAAAGTTAAACCAAGTCCTTTAAGTTAAACATACATAACTAGTAAGCTTTATAACTTATTTGAACAAATCAGATATATTGAAAATTTTCAAAATTACAGTCAACCATCTGTTTTATCGAACCAAAGAGATTAAACAGTATTTGGGGCACTTAGCTAATTATTGACTAATTTTCCTTCACCTTGGCTTCCATTTTGTGTGGCACCTAACCTCTTCTCTACCCTATCTCTTATTAGTGGATCATCCTTCCTAATTGATTTTCTACACACTCGTTGCTGGTAATATTAATAAAATTGTTTTCATCTAAAGAGAGGCTTAGTTCATTTCTGCCTTCTTATCTTGAATTTGATTTGAGAGACTTTTGCAAAAAACTAAAAAGAAAATCTATATTCAGAATATTTGGATAGACATTTGTCGTTTCCAGGAAAATAATCCTTTTCTCCTTAGTAACCCTGCATAAAGAAATTGTTATAAGTGAAAGGTTTAATCCTTCTACAAGACACTCATGAAACAATAAAGTCTTTCTATAACCTTTCACGCAGTAAGGAATACACAAGCTTCAGAAGTTTCTGAGAACTGGCTGGTACTACAAAAATTAATTTTGATTAAATTTTTGAAAAATTGCAGATGAATGCCAAGAACAAAGGGGTAATCAGAGGAACTGCAAAACAATCAGATTTATTGATATGATAATAAATTAGAATAGCTGTCTCAAGTGGGTTCTGGATGACTTATATAAACCAACATTCTTAGAATCTGAATCAATGTTTTTCACTCCAGATCAAATATTTAGTTGCTTTAATTTAATGAAAATGAATTTTGAAAAGGGAAATTTTAAAAGGTTGGGGTAAGTGAAACGTAAACTGTGTTAAGTAATCTCCTGTTTAACATTAGTTATAATCATGATGACTTTCAAGGACTTATAACTGCCTTTCTTTTCCTAATATTTCATGTATTTATTATGAGTTGAACTCACCAACATATTTCCCCTTTTCCTTTTTGATAACATTTTGAGTGTATTGATGCCCTTTTTATTGTTGTTGCTTTTCTTCATAGGAAGGCATCAGGCAATGGACCTTTTAATTCTCTGGGAGAAAGATTATACCATGTAATCTCCTAGTGTCAGTAATTGATCCGATTAATTAGGAGCTTACTGTGTTACAAAGATGCTTATTCTTCCACATTTTAACATCTGTGCAACTGGACCTATTTTAATTCCAATTGGTAGCATTTCTGTGTAGTGATATATAAAATAAAAGTGCATATTAAAGCTGATGACATCTTAGATATGTTGAAATTCACCAAATTCACTAAGGTCTCCAGAAGAGTCAAATTGTGCTCAATATCATTCCTTTTCAACAATCTCAAAAGAGAAAATGATGCTTTATCATATTTGTAGGACATTTATATTAAATACTCATTGCCTATGCATTATTCAAAAATAACATAACTTCTATTTTGTGCTTTAAAAAAATCTGAGTCTTCCCTCACATACATTATATACATACCTAGCCCTGCTGTCATTTTTTTTCCTGCTACCTATTTTTAGTTCCATCATGAATTACAATATGCTATATATCCCTGGTTTGAAATGTTTTCTTGTTTTGTATGATTCGTAGTACTTAGTCAGAAGTTTGGCCTGCCATTAACTTTTCTTTAAGAGATTTGAAAGATGCATGATACACTACAAAGTCATACAATAGGCTAAATTAATGGTACTTCCTTTCACATATATCACAGAATTGACTTTGGCATGGCAATGAATTGTGATAATTATAATCAGAATTAAAAAGCAGCTAGTCAGTTACATCATGTTACAAATAGTAAAAATAATCCCACTCTTTTATATTTTAAAATATGACAAAATATGAATGACAACTGTATTAACTTTTGACCAAACATGCATTTTTATTTTAAGACTTCATAATAAACTTACTTGTCAAAATGCATAACTTGAAGAACAATTAATTAATTCAGTTCTATACTTAAGACTGTATGAAACTGGCATTGGTATTTTTCATGACCTATTTTGTCTGATTTGATTAGTGATTTGAAAGATGATGACAGACTAATATGATTTTGATAGAGTGATTTTCAAAGGATTCTTTTGAATGAGATTTATTTAACAACAACAAAACAAACGAAACTTTTTTTAATGTGCCTTTCAAAGATCAGGGCCTCATAACAGCATTTAAACTGGAAAAAAATACACTTCAAATTCATTTCCATCTTGGTTATGCCTACTTTTTACAAATTGCTTTGCCTCCATCTCAACGAAGCAGAAGGTCTATACTCTTCTTGCAACTGGGTAGTTGATATCAATGAGGAGTTACTGCATTTTCTGTGAAAACAATAAAATCATAGGGTTCAATCCCATGCTATTTCCTTTCACACAACATTCCTTTTGTGTCTACCAGTTTAATTCATTTTCTTAGTGCTTATTTTTAAAAAGCTGTCTCTGACATTTTTTTACTTTAACTTAGGAGAAAAGCTACCACGAATGAACAGAACTTTTTTTTCAAATCTGATATTAAAAAGCTCTCTGCTGAGTATCCATAATATTTACAAATATACATTATTACATAGAAAAAGTAGGGCTCGAAGATTTGAAATTTTAATGGACCAATTGTCAGTTCACAATCAATCCATTACATGTTTGTGTCTGCTTAGGAACAACTGAAAGTTAGGGAGATTTAACTATTCCACATATTTCCATATGGACTACCTAATTGGCATTTTTAGAATAAAAGTTAATAAAATATGAGTCATGAGTTCACCACCCTGAACCCACATTGAGTATATTTAGATTAAGGGATTGGTATTCAAAATTTTGAGCCAGATCGAGGCTAAACTCTGGGTGGAAATGAAATAGTTTTCTCAAGAGAATATTTACAACTGAATGAATTTAATTTTGACTGTTCTAATTTTCCATGAGTTGAGTTAAAAAATATTCTTATTTTTCAATAAAGTGATGAGAAAGTCTATGAAATAGGGATTAGCTTGTTAGTTTGTTTGTTTTCATATGGCTCTTCACTGTTATCCTGGATTCCCAGGATATCATTTTTATTTCTTGAATCTCATCAGTATATTTAAATGTACAAGTTTAATCAAATATATGTTGTGTTGAATTTATATTGAATGTTAGTTACATTTTAGATCTCAAAGTTTAGATTTAACTTACTTTTCATTTTGATATTTTACTTATGCTAACTAGTGTCAGATAGCTGTATGTCATTTTCCCTTGGATTTTCTTTCAATAAATGCAATTATATTAAATACTCTATTAGTGTTTTGGGGAAATTTCTGCTGTCAATAAGCACTTAAGTTAGAAACAAAAAGCTATTTAGAATAGCAATTATATTTGCAAATTAAGATGAAAATGCCATCATTTCTTTCACTATTAAAAAGCTTTTATAGACTCAACACTGCAGTGAAGCACAATTAGCCCATTAAAGTTATGTGTTGATTCTTAACATCCTTTGTGAGGAATCATTTATAAGAGACTGTGTTAAACAAGTAGGCATTAAAAAAGTCTTCCTGAATGAACTGTGATTTAAGAATTACAGTTCAATTTAGTAACTCTGGGCTTCAGCATGATAGGTGAAATATTGAACAAGGATTACAGCGCTCATGTTCTCTAGGAAGATTGTTTCAGCCACATATTCCTTGGGGGCACTCTGTAGGCTTCATGTGTTTCTTCTGAGGGAAACGAATAATAGTGCTTGACAATGATTTGTGTGAACCAAAGTATAAATGGAATCCTAACAATTAACTTGCACAGCTTAATTTCCTCTCACCCTTTGGTATTGTATTT